AACGTGGAAAAACTTAATTTACGAAATGCTTAAGTTAAATTTTGTGTCATGTAGAATGTCATGGCCAAAAATGGTGAACCTTCAAGTCCGACAGATTAGATTTTAGGTGTCTCTGTATATTAATTTAGAGTATCCAGGTATTGCCTTTAAAAATTAATTTAGTGTAAAATTACACCACAGTAATGTGTAAGGGTGTTACATATGGCTAGAACTTCATGAATTGTCTCGACGGTTGACTTAAAACTAGTGGTATTCACGATCTTTGTGTTAACCCTGTTAGCTCGAGAAAAATGATGACGTCGACTTGTAAGAATCGGCTAGTTAGCAGGGCCAATGTTAGATGTTAGGTCGAAAATGTAGTCACATTCCTATCCGTTAGGGCGTAGGTAACCAACATGGCAGCCATGTTCACATGTATTTTTATTCTTAAAAACGCATTAATTAATTCAGTCCAATAAATTTCTTTTGTTAATTTCTGACCTGTAGGCTCTTAGACGGTAGGATATTATATATAGTTCGTCGGCACGAATTGAAGTGTGTTATTTGTTAGTATTTTTCGAGTGCATAGATAGCATTTTGAATGAAAGAGTTGATTAATTTTTCGTTTTTATTAATTTCTGACAGCTTACAATTTAACACAAAAGAAAACCAAAATAACAACAAGCCTTCAAGGACTGTTATAGCTTTATTTTTGGTTCTACCAATCTCCATGCGCAGCATTGCGGAAAAATTAACGTTTAGAATGCTGAGAAAAGATCTTACTGGACATTTCTCTATTCGAGTTAACACGAGTTAACATCTTACAAATCGTGAATACTCCTACTGTTGAATGGGGTAGAGCATCCGGTTTTTCGAATCCGTGCACTGAGAGTGTGTAAACATGCTGTTCTATCTTTGAGGATTTTGGCCCTGGCCTTACGTTTCCTGGTAGCGGCCCGACTTTCAGGCCAGGGTCAGCTCCCACCGGCTGAACAAAAGAGTTGATGAGTGATGTTATCTCTGCAGAACAGAAGAAGGGGGCGGACCGTCGAGGAAGAAGCGCTTCACTTGAGCTGGAATCGTCTCGACCTTCGGACCGTTGGCTTTTTCCGCCCTGCGTTCTGCGACTACCGACGGCGATTAGTCACGGCGAATCGTCGCTCTCCACCCGAGGGGCCTTCACCTACATCCTCAGATATTTCGCAACAAAAGCGTCACCGAAATTCCCGTTCGCCCCCTTTTTCCCGGCATTGGCGGAAACGCTCTCCTTTCAATTAACCCGGCCCCCGGCATTCGTCCCGATACAGGAAAATTGCACACAAAAGCGTTTTCCTTTTCGTCTACAACTTCAATTAAAAATAATAGACATCGTAAAAGGATTTTCAATATAAACGAGCCAAAAGATCATAATCGTTGGTGTTTTTAATTATTAAATATTTTAAAAAGAGGTAGGAAGTTTTATTTTACAAAAGTCACTTAAATGAAACAAACGTAATTGGTTTGTTTTTTACTTGCCGTTCCATTTAACGATTAAAACCTTTTCCGTAATGGATGGGAACATCAAACAAAGACGACGGTGTACCCTGTTTTCTTGAAAAGTAAGGTACAATAAGCCAGAAAGGGTGTAGTGCCTAGGAAACACCAACCCCGCTTCCTAGTAAACTTCATCATCTGTTGATGGGTAAATGAAGATTGAAGAGAAGGTATCGACCGCTTGATTTGATGTATGATAAGTATTATGGTCAAGGCTACTCATGAAAAACGTTGTACCTGATATAAATATATGTTTTAAGTATTCGAATAGGCTGGATAGATTCTTCACCAAGTTGGCCGCAACGGTTTAGGCGTTGACACGGCGCTCATCACTGTAAGGTCCCGGGTTCGAATCCTGCGGCCCTGCATTCGAACCCTACATACAATGGGAATTTTTTTTTTTTCAAAAACATCGGGACCCCGAGGGTTCATATAAATTTTAAAAAAATTATTTGTGGAACATCTAACGTTATTTATAGAGTATCCAGTATGGGATGCCCTGCCAAATACATAGGCCAGACCATGCAAAGGATAAAAATTAGAATGTATGGACATAAACATGTTTGTAAAGATCCATCCAAATTGTAAACCGGGTTGTCACACCACAAAACCGGGCCCAATTTTGATTTTGAAAATATTGACGTGTTGCATGAAGTATCTTCAGACGTGAGGAGAAAAGTAAAAAACATTTGTACATTAACATGGAGGAGAACTCTTGTAATGTGCAGAATGATTTTCAAAAAATCAGTCCAGCCTGTTCGGGTTTAAGGCAAAGAACGTCATGTTATCTCGTGTCCTTCTCAATCTTATAGCTGAAGTAATTTTTTGGTTAGAGATTTCGATTGTGTATGTATTATACTACAAAATTTAAAAAACCCAAAGTAGTAAGTAGTTACCCGTGCCGAAAATTGGTTGTTGATTTGTTTGAAAATATAGGCCTTGATGATGTCCTTGAAGCCCGGGTCGAAAGCTTGGCAAAATTGGAGTTTTGTTTTTATTCTACCCCTTGACCGTAATACTGATCATACGTCAAATTAAATGAGGATTGGCAGGCCAAAATGTTCGGAAACAACCTTTTTTCAATGGGTTGTCATGTGACGATAGTTAAGATAATTTGGAATGAAATTTGTTGTAGCGAGATTGGGCAAGGTTAAGACAGGGTGTGTTCAGATCAGAATGAATTGGTGACGTAGGTGGAACATCAACTTTTGTGCGAAGGATTTTGGATGGTAGGGATTGGTTTTTTTTTAGATTGGATAGAAACGACCAAACTACAAATACAGCTGATCTTCGAAAATAGATTATTTTTATTCGAAATCGTCGGAAAAAGCACACATCAAAAATATTTCTAGGGCGAACGAATACGTTACACCTACCCATATATTGCCTAAATATCCATAAAAAACTATTTTTGTTTTAAAGTAACATAAATGAAGAGCTATTACGTGTAGATAAGGGCTTTTACATACTTCGTAAAAACCTTTTACCTTATAAAACTCGTACTAGTGAGAATCTATTTTCAGTATTAAAACCCACATAAACTATGTAAAATTCAAAACTCTGGCAGTTTCTATTACTGACCGTAAAGCCCAGAAGGATTATGGAATGAATTTGATTTTCAAACCTAACGTAACGTCATCAAGTCCGTGTCACTTTCTTTAAGCGGCCCAAAAAACCTTGATGTACACTGTTCTTTTATGGCAATGATTTCCCGACGGTTTGAAAGTTGTATTGTTTTATTGCCTATTCACATTTAAGCCTGGTCCATCGTTTACGTTGGTTTATTTTTATACATAAACGCCATAGGTAAAAAGTATAATTAGTTTATTGTATAAAGTATAACTAAGGTAAGGAATATTTCAGTTGTTAATATGTACGTCTGAGCTCAAAGCAGGTGGACCACGTTGGAGGTCGATTTCTTAATTTGACCCTCTACATTTTTTAAGAGGATGAGAGCCAATTGAAAAAATACAAGGTGAATTTGATTTAAGGGAACAATTAATTGCCGGTTATTATTTTCACTATTTACATTCCAATTTTTTTCTATAGGTGTATCAGTACTAACCTCAATACAAATTATGCCAGGCCTGCTGAGAGTTTACGTATATTCTAGGTTATAACGGTTACAGGTTAACCGATTTGAATTGTAGACGTCATAATTTCAACAAGTCAATAGTACCTATATATTTAGAAATGATTGAACTCTTCAAGTAATAGCTGTAGCCTTTGTACCAACAAAAAAACTCTTGTGCAAGGTGGAAGTTCAGAAAACAAGACAGTTGTCTGAATTTGCGATGGATGAACAGGTTTTCATCCTAATCTCTTTCCAAACACACCTTCGGAGAATGGAAGGAAATAATTATTATGTTATTGCTTCATAACGCCTCTTGATGGGAGTAGGTGTGGTTCAGTTGGCAAAACCGTCGAACGTTCCATTAAAGCCTACTTACAAAAAATAGTTTTATGTACCTACTTTTATGTAAATTATAGTTCTAACCAAGTTGCACGGACCGATTAAAAATAAGTATTAAATTCAGACAAACCTTATATAAACCATGTCATTTGATCAATGTTTTCAATGATTTTTGTTTTATAATAATAATAAAGCATTTATTGAAAGATCAATGCAATTAAAGAGTCGTTAGATACTTTTGTTTTATATTTTTGTACGTTAATATATTAATCAATAAACATTTTATAAAAATAAAAATAAAAGTAATGAAAGAGTAGTTTTTCAATAACGTATAGTTACAGTTTGAAAGTCGTTTTGTAAAGTAATTATATATCTATGGTATTTTAAGTGCAAAAGTAATCAGCATTAACGGAATCAAAATCAATACAGTCGTTTTAAAATAATTACAATTTATTAAAGAAATAATTGAATGCTAATGACTTTCGTAATGTACGGTCTGAAGATATTACAATATTTTTTTACCCACCGTGGCTTCTGTATCTACGCTAGGACCATGGTAGATTGATAGGTTATGCTAATATATATATGTGTGTGTGTGTGTGTGTGTGTGTGCGTGTGCGTGCGTGTGTGTATATGCTGACTACATTTCATCAGATCGAAGATGACATAATCGATTTTTTTCTATTTATTTCAGAGGATGGAATAAATCTCATCCCGCGAATTTTCCGTCAAGGTGGGGGGGTGATATCTCAACATTTATATTCACCCCCTCCCCTTTTTCGACAAAAGCCACAGCCAAGCCCCCTTGTTTTCCGTTTGTCTGGCACAATTGGCCAAAGTTGTGACAGGTTCGTAAATTTCGTTTTAAACCGTGCCCGAATTGTTTAGCCCATTCTCCATCATCTCTATAAATCCGCCGTTGGTGTGGCGAGGGGTGGGGGAGTTAAACTGAAAGACAAATAGGAAATTATTCAAAATTAGGGCTTGTTTTACGGCATTCAATAAGAACACATATCGAACTATTGATATGGCTTCTATAAACATATTGATGTAAGATTTTTGTCTATTATTCTAGGGTGGTCCGATGTGAGGTGCAGTCCGACCCCCTGTGGGCTAAGATGAGCACGGCAGGAGTCAACAGCAAAAAACGAAAGAAACCTGAAACCAAGCCACAGTCTCAGCTGTAAGTACATTGCTTTATTATTTATTTTATTGTGCTAAACCTCTTTAAAATAAATTCTTATTCAATCTATTAAGTAATTATTAAAAATTAATTAGATGACGCATTTTCTTATTGTTTGTTCAGATCAAATTAAGATTCCATTTTAGATTCTTTTGTTTTAACACTATAGTAAACGTGTGGTGTTTAGTGACCGTTGTTAATGATTATTTGGAGATCGTGCGATGGGGTGTGGTGTGACGAAAGTTTAGGAAACATTGTCTTTATCGTGCCAACGTTTCGACCTTTTATTGAGATCATCTTCAGATTCATCTTCTATAATTTAAACAATTTTTATAAATCCAAGGCTTTGAAGATGATCTAAATAAAGATCGAAACGTTGGCACGATAAAGAAAAAATTTTTCTAAACCTACGTCACACCAGACCGCATCTCACGATCTCCAAATAATCAATAACTATAGTAAACGATAATTTCAAAATGTGCAAAAAGTTAGAAATTTTTTATATATATTTTTTTAAGAAATATTCACCAGAAATCTCCAGCCAGTCCAAACTTAATATCGATTCGTCTCCAGTTACTTGTATGTTTTATGTAGATTTTCTTATCTTTCTATTAATCCCACTTGTTTTCCATTTGATTGAAAAGCATGCGTTTAGAAAGAACAAAACGTATTCAAAAATCAATACCTTGATCGCGAACATTTTGTAATTTCATTTAAATTTACTTTTGAGCTTAAAGCTTGATTAACTTAATCAATTTCATTTAAAAATTTCTAACGATTTAAGTAGTTTTGCAAAAAAAAAGCGCTATTAAAACGGTTCAAAAATGTTAGAACAATAATCGCGATAATAAGAATAAAATTCCGAAATCCTTATCTCGAAATCAGTCGACTAAGTAAACTAAAATATAATACAGCCCAAAAATATATATATATTAAATACATTCACTAGTTTTCGTGGTCCGCTTGACCAATTAATGCCTTTCAATTAATTAAGGTTTTTAGTTGATATAAAAAAGTCAGTGTCACGAGAGGGATTCGAACCCACGATGTTCGACTAGATACGCCGCTGCACTACCACTTGAGCTATCGTGACCTCGATCCACTCGGACTCTTTACTTCACGTCTCAACCGCACCTTTTGAATTTTCCCTCCGTTTTGCCATTTTTCAAATATCGTGTAATCTATTTGATTCTGAATCATTTTCATGAAATTTCATTTGTCGCCAAGAATCAAATAGTTTATACGACATTTTAAAAATGGCAAAAAGGAAAAATTCAAAAGGTGCGGTTGAGATGGGAAGTTACTGTCCGAGTGGATGAGATGAAAAGAGTCAGTGTCACGATAGCTCAAGTGGTGGAGCAGCGGCGTATTTAGCCGAGGGTCGTAGGTTCGAATCCCGCTCGTGACACTGACTTTTTATCTCAACTGAAACCTTAATTAATTGAAATATAGTTAAATGTATAAATGAATCATTTTTTAATCTTAAACTTTACCTTGTTTGGTAATATTATATTATGTATTTAAACTCAATCATCAATCAAGTTAGACTAGGCTATGCTTATTACCCCGATGTAAACTGTCTATAATTAAGTATTGACACTCCATTGATTCTCCTACATAATGAATTATTATTTGTGAGTAAGAGTTTGTGACCATTGAATTTCTATTACAAGGCTAATCCTACTATTTAGCAATCTTACTGTGCCTCCAATGTGGGTGAAGGTCGGACACATTGTAGGTTAAATTGAAATAATTTATTTAACCAAATATGTGATCAAACGTACGGTTCACGTCAATGAACCGTTCTACACGCATTTCTTTTCTTCTTAATATTACTTTGTTTACATTATATCTGGTTAAGAGAGAATGCGTAAAAACCGCAGGGTCAAAGGCCATCAAGTCCCGTATCTCTGTCAGTGAAGAATTTCAAACGTAAAATTATTCAAGAGAACAAAATTTCTATAACTTTCTGTTAGGGTTATAATTAATAACGAAAGGCTCATATTTACAATCCTCCTTACATGGCACTTTCTTTCAAGATCACGATTTAAATATAAATAAATGACAAACTTCAGCAATGTAAAGTTTATCTACTATGAGATGATTTCCAAATCGCCAATATAGATTATTTTTTATTATATTACAATAAAACCTATTGAAAATATTATTTGGTTTTTAAAAACGCTTTTGTGTAACGTATAAACCGTTAGAAACTCTTGTGCTAACGTCTTGGAATCCGATATGAAAGTGAAAGGAGGAGAGCGTTGGTCGACATCAAGCAATAGGCCTAAGAACCAGGTCTAGTTCATTGGAACAGGATCAGTAGGACGGCTGTGGGCGGACATCCACCTGACTCGTTCATTAACAATAGGACATACTTGGCCACACTCAGCCTACACTTGATTCATCCTTTTACCGTCCCTCGTATGATCACGGCTGCATAATTTAAAAAAAAAATATTAACTTGCGTGGGCCCGTGGAAAATTTGAATGTTACAATATTATTAGTATACTGGAAGTTTGCATTTCTAGTTTAAATTTTTAAAGGGTGGGGAATTGGCTGATAATATGTTTGGATTAAAAAAACATGTTTGTAATGATGAGATCTCAGGCGTGATGACCAGCTGTGTATTATTGATGTTTTGAGATCTGGGATGTGACAATTGATGATTGGGTGGTATGTGGTCCAGAATGAAGTCGTATCTTTTGTGCCAAACTTTCGGTTTTTTATTAATCCTTCCTCAGGGCTGGATACTTAATTAAAAAACATAAATAAAAATAAAATTAAAGCGGCACGTTCAGGTACTTCGGTCATAGGAAGGTTACCTCCTTTACAAAATTGCATTTGTCACGATTACGTTTTACTGTAAATAATATTCTTCACTTCGATTATTTATTTATTAGAAATATATTATAATAGATAAATTATAAATTATAATAAATTTGTTATTTATTTGTATTTATTTGTAGTAAAAATTTAATATTGAATAAAGTAAAAACATATGTGTGTATGTTTGGATTAAAAACATGATTTTAATGATAAGATCTCAGGCGTGATGATCGACCAGCTTTGTAATATTGATGTTTGAGATCTGGGATGTGGCAATTGATGGATTGGGTGGTATGTCGTCCAGAATGACCTATCTTCAATAACCGAAATACCTGAACTTGCCACTTTTATTTATATTTATGTTTTTTAACTAAGTATCCAGCCCTGAGGAAGGATTAACAAAAAGCCGAAAGCTTCGCAAAAAAGATACGACTTCTTCATTTTGGACCACATACCTGATCCCAATCATCAATTGTTAATCATCGCTGGTCGATAATTGTCCGTAATGATATATTCATCAGGGATGTGGTTCAAGAATGAAAATTATTACACTACTGCCAAGCTTTCGGCATTTATTACTGTAAAGCCTTGAGGAAGGCAAAATAAATGCCGAAAGGTTGGCAGTACTGCAATAATTATCATTCTCTCAAAATATCGATATTACGACAAGAGAAAAAATCCATGTTTTGCAAATCAATCAAAATAACCTAAGAAAGACGGTAAATCAACGAAAAATCACTAAATACAAAAGAAAATTCACACACTTTTAGTTATTATCAATAAATATTGATTTAAGTTCATAATACACATATAAATTACGGAGTACGAGCAAGCTGATATCGCAAATCGTGTTTCCATGTCAATTATTGCTAATCTATGAGCAAAACAGTAGCTATTAATCTTTTTGAATTTTTTTTATTAATAACATTTCCATTACGTGATTGTACAGTGAAAAACAAACGGCAGCTTATCACCTTGTACATATCCTGCTTTATAATGACATTACCGACATATCGGGCGACAGCCTATTGAAAATTGAACTGGATAACTTTTATCATTTTCATTTTTATGACACAATTACCAATTCAAATTCCTACGCTATCGCGTTTTGCTTAGCTGGCCAGGTTGCCTTCAGTCAGCGGATTATCATTTTCAAATTGTTGAATCGGCTAAAACATAAACGTTTCTAATTTGTAAAAATAACACCGGCTATAAATGTTAACATTTTAGAGATCTATTTAACATTAACTAATTTTTTTCTGTTCCATGAATTTAATACTAATTTCTGGAGTTGAAATTGGTTTGAATTCCGACATGTTTTTTTTTTTGCTCTGTGTTTAATTGATCCCGGAGGCTTTGATTAATTTGTTGCTTGGAAATAATGAAAGAACCCTGTTCATTAAGCAGCCGCTATCTGTGAATTGCCAGTTTTATAAAGTTTAGAAATATAACGAGCCGGGTCTTTAAAAAAATATATCTTGTTTATTATTCTCTTTTAAAACCTGAAATGTATATAGTAAACCCACGATATTAATGTACAATTGTTTAAATGTATTAAAATTTTAAATAATTAATTTTTGTACAATTTAAATCCAAATTTCCTCAATTGCAAATAGTAATAAAGTTCATTATAATAAGAACATTACAATACATTTGTGGATGAGCACAGCAGCTTAAATATGGGTCCCCGTTCTCTTGTTGGGGAGTTGTTTTATTGTTTATAGTTTTGTGTCCCTAGCATGTGTTCAGAGTGAATGCATATATTAGCGTGAACGTGTAGTGTGAGAGGGTCTATGGCGGAATATTGAATACGCCATCGACCTTATTATGTGTAAAGGTTGATCGAGGAATATCGACTTCTCCAGTTCTCTAACTGATGAATGAGATTGGACCTAGCAGCTGAATTAACCTGACAGCACTCGGAGTTTCGAACCCAACAAAAAGGATTTTTCCGAGATGCACCATTTCATATAACCTCTTAAAAATTAATATAAATAAAAAAATAATGTTTATGTAAGGTATTGGTGGAGATAAAATAGTCAGAGTCACTGGCGGAATTCGAACCCACGATCTTCGGCTAAATATGCATCCCATCTCAACCCCAACTTTTGAATTTTCCCTCCTTTTTGCCATTTTTCAAATATCGTGTAATCTATTTGATTCTCGGCGAC